GCCTCCAGGGCAATCGCCTCCCTCCCTGCTTGGGACGCCACCCACCATCTTCATACTTCATACTGCTAGATCTCTGCCGGAGCACTTTTGAACTAGCGGCCAACATTTCTCGCTAATGTGGGCTCGGGCCTTTCTTGCGCCTGTCCTCCCTTCGGGCTAGGAAACTTACATTCGGGATGGGTGCGTTGCTGCAGCTCTTGATGCTTCGACCTCGGCATCAGATGCAGACTCATTTGGGTCGATGACGGATTTATGGCCCTTCGATGCTTTCGTCGTGGCGTGAATAGCATCTTCATACAATTGTAGCCTCATAAAGGTCTTAAATGCCCAATCGTGGAACGAGCTTGGGTCACAAGCATAAATCCAGGAGCCCGATTGGGTCTCTTGAGGGGTACCCGAGGTTATGGTCCGGTGGTATCTGGACCCGGCCAGGCTAATGTGTCACAAGATACGTGCAATCAGATATTGGTCGGAGTCCGGCCCGCGCTGGCTCCAGACCTACAGGTACTCGCCTCTGAGCTCGGCAAGGCCCTGCTCCGCTACCAGTTTCAAGGAACTGGCGAGGCTTTTGCTTTTCCACTGCGTGACCAAACCGTCAGAAGCTGCCGAGACAAGCAACTACCCCTGCATTCTCGGAAAAACAAAGTCTCTCCAACGTGTACAAATGTGTAGGAACATAAATAACAGTATGGCCCTAGACTGTGCCCCAAGCCCCGACTACACCTTCACCAGTAACCTGCTCCCAAAACACGTTAAATCCATATCCCAAAAAAAAACCCTCAACCCAACTCAACTCCAGCCTTTTCTTTTCTTGAACCTCAAAAAATATGCCACTAGCTTGACAAACAAGCTTTCAAAACACCTGTGCCGGGTTGGGAGGCTACAAGGATCTACAAGGTCAAGAAAGGCTCGTAGCTTCACAAAGAACTTGCGATATGTTTGGCGAACAAACTCTGTTCTTGTCAGACCTCCAATAGACAGGACAAGAAAGAGAGTTCTTTGGCTACTTGAGGCTACTTGTAGTAGTGGTCTTTACTGAGCTGCGCACTTCGCTCGACCTGTTGCGCCTGACAAAGCTTTACTGCGTAATCTTCAAACAGGCTTCATGCATGCTCTGCCAGTGCAAAGATCATCGGATCATACCGTGAAGGAAGGGTCCCGAAAAAAGGTCAAGCTGGGAACTCGAACACTAAACCGCATGAGCATGCAAGAACAAGGTAGTGTTCCAGCAACAGCTTACAGTACATTCGTAGCTGTCTGTGATCATTAGTTTTCCTCTCCTGGCAGAACTTTGTTCCTGTGTCGTTCCGCACTTTGCAGACAGCCTCCTCCTCAAGCTTGGACACAGCCTGCACAAAAATCGGGTGCACGAGAGTCGGGTGTCCGGGAAAGCTACTCTGATCCTGAGACGGCATTGCGCCAGGCAGTCGGACACATTAGTGATATATTACACTCGACATCATGAACATGATCACAGCCGGCCTCACGGCGTCTTTGCGCCAGCGACCTCGCTTTGTCCGACTCCTGCTGGGCCTGCAGGGGATGGTGACCGGGTGCAACCTGTTTACCTTGCTACACGGTCACCACGCCCTGAAACGCAGCTTGAAACCTTCCATCAAGCAGGCACCTGTCGTGCTTCTTGCTGCATCTGCTGCTGACTTGGAAGGAACGCCTCCGGGAGTGGCAAAGGCATGCTAACCACTGCTCCTAGCCTGAATACGCCTGACTCGACGCAGGTCATGATGACAGTGCCTGGATTTCACGTTGGAGGCGTTCCACCTGGTCCTGGCCAAGGGCCACCTGCACATGCCAATCTATGCTCGTATGTCCAGCGCATCTCTTCGACCTGCACCCCGGGCCGTTCCCTCCCAGTTTTGCTCCACTAAGAGGCGAGCTCCCCGACGGGCTGCAGGTGAAACTCTCGCCAACATATCTATTTGTGCGATCGAAAAGCATCGCCATGCGCCATCTTTTATGAAACACGTTCGGGGCTACAACTTAAAAATCACTGCTACTCGCGAGACTTGTGAGCTCTCTCCAAGACTTCATGGTGGCTCGAACATTTACGATGGAGGAAGCGCCGGGCTTGGAGACATTGGAGCTGCCATACTCCCGACAAGCACGGCAGAATGCTCCGAGACGCGGCTTCCATCATTGAGCAGGATCTGTGCAGGCGTTGGGATAACCTGAGAGATTAACACTGAGCCCTTTAAATCGCGAAGCCAGCGGATGCTTTGGAGCCTTCTGCGGTTTCTCAAGCTGAGAAAAGGAGCTCAAGCCCAGCTGCATGTCCTTCTGCACGAGGCTCATGCCCAGCAACTGCATCTTGAAGTTCGCATCCATAAGGAGCTGATCCTTGCAGGAGCTCTCCTGCACACGCACGGTTCTCCTCATGAAACCCAAGGCCCGAAACCGCTGGCGAGCGGGCGCCTGCAGCAAGCGCAACGCCTCCTCGCGCAGCCCGGTGAGGAGCTCACGCAGCACGGAGGCTTCCTGAGTCGTCGTTCGGAGCTTTGACTTTGATCTAAGGTTGAAACCATGGGCCCCTAGTATGGGCCCTTGCTCCTGGGTTCCCTATATACCCAGCATATGTAATTACCCTATATGTTCCCAAGAATCCCCTGAAAGGCCTAAGGGTCCATGTTAAGGCCCATATACTTCTAACCTTAGATTTGAGGAAAAACACTACGACTTATACGACTATTTACGTGTGTGCCTCAAGGTCTCTGCTTCAGGTAGCGAAGCGATGATTCCGCTGGCTCCGCTTTCTTTGATCATCAAGGACTCCTTATTCTTGGGGGGAACACGAGCAGGGCGAGACGCAAGACTCCTGTCCCTGCCCGTCTGCCATCCGTGTCGGGGCACGTCAAGACGGTTGATGTTCTTCGCTATGCTGGTGCCCCCATGGTGACTTGGTGGCAGAGCTTTGTGGGCATCTCGCCTGTCATGATGCACGAATGCGTCACAGATGCCATGCGGGTCGGAGACCGTGTGTCCCAGTCCAAGCGGCCAACGCCCAAAGCTAAGCAAGCGCTGCTCCCTGTTCTTGACCTGCGACACCACTGAATTGCAAGGGGCCCACGCTTCAAAGCACAGGTCTCAGACCCTGCACAACCGTCAACGCGGGACGAGCGGCAACAACGGAAAGAGGGCTATGAAGGGTGCCTCCTCTTGAAGGCGTTGCAGGCGAACAGCATGGCTCTTCGTTAGCAGCAGCTGGCTATCAGAGAGCCTCGGTGCAAGGCAGAGACGCAGAGGTGCTTGAGAACTGCAGTTCGCCACACTTGCACGCTTCCTGAGATTCGGTCGCACCGTGCTTTGCCCTCTCCTCAGCCAGACTCCTTGGGTCACATTTCACAACGGCTCGAAACGGGGCGATCCGGTGTTGCAACCACAGGGCGACTGCAGCTCTTCAATGGTGTTGGTCATGTGCTGAATCTTCTCGGAGTTGCCTCGGCGGTCGTGGCTAAGGCCATGATTTGGCAGATTTCACAAGTCCCAACATACATGAAGTCTCGAGCCCTATATGATCGTGAGCCGACGAGTCATGGACGGGATGTGCTGGCCCTGGTTGAATCTGCAAGACACACCTGAGGGCCTTGTATGTAGACAGAAGGTGTCACCTGGCTTTCTGGCAAGTCGCTCAGGAACTCCTCGACTTGCTGTCGGGCTGCCTGTGCAGACGCCAGTGCGCAATCTATCTTCGAGATTTTCTTTCGCCGGGCGTGCAAAGGAGGCCGTCAATTACCTGCCTCTGGACTCACTTGGGGATTTCTCCCGGAAGCAGATGTCAACGTCTCCAATAGCCCCACCGGAATCACACCCTGGCAGAACTCGCAGCTGACACTACCAGGCCAGGAAAAGATAACGCAGGGCGTAAAACTAGAAGTCAGTAGCTGACCTCCAAAAGTTTTGCATCCACGCAGCCCACTGCTTTCACGTCGCGGTCGTCCTCTTGTTACATGACGGTTTCTTCCCGCTCGCCACATTATGTACCGTTCCTGAAACTCGGTCGATTCTTGCGGGCATGGCTCAGTTCGCTTCCATTTCGTTCTGACAAACAGTCAACACGACGAACGGCGGGCAAGAGACTATGTCACGCCACACTCTCTACGGAGAAGGCTCATGCAAGAGGTCGCAGGACTGCAGACGCTTGGGGAGTGGAACCTGTTTTCGAGAAGAGAAAGCGGTGACAATTGGAGCGACACTCGCACAAGCTGTGATTACGGGATGTACAGCGCATGTGGGTGAGGTTTGTGGAACATTCGGAACGATGGAACACAAGGGATCCTGTAAATGCTCACCATGGAAGCATCAAAGACCTGAATCGCCAAGCTCTTGAGCAGCCAAAAACACCGAAGAATCCCATGATGGCTGCTTGAACTACCACTGTCACATGGCCTCATTTGGTGCCTGGTGTCTGAGTTTGCATAACTGGGGCAAGGATTTCACGGCCAAACTACGACGGGAAGGAAATTGATCCCTCAGCGTTTTTGAGCCGTCTTGGATTAGCCCCCAAGTGTTGAACTTGCGATGGAATTGAGGGTTTGGTGCTTGGGTTGGGATGGCGGCGGGGCAAGATGGAATCCCAGCTGAGGTCCACGTCTGGTGTAGTGTCTGGCACGGGTGGGCTGTCATTGCTGAGACGTCGGTGAGCTCGTGCAAGGTTGCCTCACAGCCAAACGATTCGATGGCAAAAGCTCGGAGCCGCAGTGCTCTTCTTCGCATTTATCCAAGATCAGGTACATTGCAACTGCATTCTGGCGAGCAATTCTGCGGGATGGAACCTCAATTTCAGAAAACATGCTTTTGCGCAGTGTACAAATCATGTCGAATACATCGCAGATGTATGCTGCTTGCAGCTGGAGCACGGCTTCTTCACGAAATCGTTGGCGCCCAGCTTCCTTGGTTGCTCGCATGCCTCATCAAATTTCATGAAACCTCCTGTGAAATCGTCTTATCAGGTCGAGATTTTGGGGCTTAGGCTTAGACTTCATCCTAAACCCTGAACCCTAATCGCCCTAAGCTTTAGCAGAATGTAGATGCACGGCTGGGTTTTTGTGCAGGTGGAACTGAGCTCATACGCCATGGTCCTCTAGGACCCAATTCCGTCTGGATTCGTTTGGTCCGGTCGAATCCTGAAACATAAACGCACATGCATAAACCCTAGATACCCTATTTGTACAAGGTGTCCTTAGGACGATTTCTAAGTGCGGCCCCTGTGGCCACGAGAGTTTAGCGATGCTCCAAAGGCGAAGCCTTTGTAAGACGGGCCGCCGACGCCACTGACCCTGTGGACGACCGGGTCTTGCGCGATTATGTCGTTGACGCTTTTCAAGAGGCGAAGATGCTCTAGATATCGATATCGAGGTTTTCGTGTGTTCTCAGCATGCATTGTTTCCAGGGTTTTTGTCGTCCAAAACACTGCTGTTAAAGCGACTTAGCCCTTAAATCGGGCAGCGCAACGGGCCCTTTCTGTGGGGCAGCCAATGTGGCCGCAGGAGCTTAGCGAAGCTCCAAACGCGAAGCTTTTGAAAGGGGGCCCGCCAATGCCACCGACCCTGCTGCATCGAGTGTCGTTCCTCTCTTCTTGTGTGGCCTTGCGTGCATGTGGTTGGGGCTTCAGGGCTGAGTGCTTGGACGACCGGGTCTCGCATGGCCATCTCGGTCAAAAGCGCCTTTTTGTTGGCTGTGGCAACAACAAAGCGAAAACGGTGTAAATATCAAGGTTGTCGCGTGTTCCCAGCATGCCTTGCTTCGACGGTTTTGTCGTTCAAAATGCCTCTTTTTAAGCCTTGCGGAGTGTGGTGGGCGGTGACGCTCAAGGCTCGGAGATGACATTGAAAAAAGGCTGCTTTTAGAGCCTTGGGGTGTTGACGTGGCCCTCCGCAAACACATATCATGTGCATCGGCTGGGTTGTCTGTTGGGGGGGGCGGTAGCATTCAAGGCTAGGAAGATGATGTTAAGAACAGAATTGTGCGTCTCTGCCGGCAGCGGTTTGGGGGTGGGGCGGGGGAACGGGCGTTCCACCTTCACGCCGTTCGAGCTTGCGGTCGTCAGGGCCCGCCTTCTTTACCTGGAGTGAAACTTCCCCTATGATGTTCTAACTCTCGGAGAGGACTGCCTGCACTGCCCGCACCTGGCGCAGCCCTTAAATCGGGCAGCGCAACGGGCCCTTTCTGTGGGGCAGCCCCTGTGGCCGCAAGAGCCTGGTGAAGCTTTAAAGGCGAAGCCTTTGGAAAGCGGCCCGCGGATTCCGCCGACCCTCCTCTGCCGCGTTTCGGGGGTCCCGCTGATGCTCGTAATGCCGCCCCCGCTGCATCGCCGGCACGGACGCAAAACTCGGTTTTTAGCTGGGGGATGGCCGTTCCGCACGGTGTAGCAGACCCAAGTCCGATGAAGCTTCCGCCCGCGACGGTGGGCTCATGATGCGCACTGCGGGGGCGCGCATGATGAGCATCAGCAGGGCCTGGAATGGAACGTGGCCCCTCTCTGATGCATGTTGCGTGCTTTTGGGGGCGCTCAATAAAGATAGTACTGCATGCTAGAGAAAAGCAGTGCCAAAGAGACCCTAAAAGTCCTACATCATGTACCTACAAACGGTCCGATGTCGTCATGGCAATGTACTTAGATATTGATTCCATCTACGGTTCAGAGTCACATGAAGTAGTGGGTTTCTGTATCTCCCGCAAATATTCCTAAGAAGTCCCAACTCTAAGCCTTGCTTCACATGAAACGCTCTCAACATGGTCCAGGTGTCAAGCACTTGGTGATCATGTCCTTGTCGCTGCTGGCTGACATCTTGGATAGCAGACTCAAGCCCAAGCTGAGAGGCTCAAATCGCTCCCGAGGCTTTTCCACAGCCGTCGTCTACCCCTCAAAAAACCTTAAACAACGAGCACTGCCCTCCTCCCTCAGCACGACGCAACCCACATGCGCAACTTCTTTTCGTTGGTTGAAAACCTGTCGAACAGTGTTCGGTACAAGCCGGCGCCGGGACTCACTCTGCACCCACCCGTGACAAGCTCCGACCACTGACAAGAGAGAGAAAAACAAAAGCGGGTAAAAGCGGGCTGTCAACGAGGGACCCAATCCGATTTATCTTGCTTGACCTTGGTAACGGAGTTCATCGCCGAGGAAATCTCTTGCGAAGGTGAAGCACCCGCATAGTCTCATACGGCTCTCAAGAATCTGTGCTGAATGTGGTAAGGACTTCCTGTTGCTGACAGGTTAGCAGCCTAGCCACTGCTTTGCCTCTTTGGCTGAGTCCGGTTCTCGAAATCTTTCAAGTGCAGAACTGTAGCCCGATGCTGTTGGGCTCGTCCGCTCGCTGCTTGCATGTTTTTCAAGCCGCAGGAGACCATCCTCCTGGGCTGCTCCTGCGAAGGCAGTGCTCATGGCGACCGCACTGCCCGACACATACGGAATCTCTTTCCGAAAGATGTTCTGCGACTCTGTGGCTACTAAGCAACCCAAACAACTCTCGTTTGCTCCTCGAGTTGGCGAAAAGGCTTGCAGCAAGGATGATCAATGATCCGACAAGCGATAAGTCTTTGAGCGATGGGCTCGTGGGTTGAACCTCAACGTGTCTTTCCCTCAGCGATGCTGGATTCTGTTTGTGGACATACTGTGTGTTGAACCGCATGAAATAGAATACGAATGCAGAGGCCTGAAAGGGAGGATGGAGTGATTGTAGTGTTCTTCGGAAGCAATAACCTCTTCTCCAGGTCCCAGTTTCATGAAAGCTACGTGTTACACGAAGACATTGAAAACCGCCTGCATCGACTGATCAGGAATGACATGTTGCTGTGTCACACTAGGCAGACTGTGTGCAACAGGCCCGGCCCTGTGACATCCTGTTACGTATTTTCCACGAGCACTTGTTGCCAGTTGCTGGAACATGCAACGACAGTGGCTACCAGGTTTTGGTCGTGATATCAGATGAGTCGCTTCCATTTGGCTCTTGCTTCATTTCGGACACTCAACCTGATGTAACATCGATCCTGCAATCGTCGAGGTGAAGCGTGCTGTTCAGGATCACTGGACGCGGAAACGACGAGACAATACACGTACGTTCGGGGTCGGGGCTTCTTTCAGGTTTGGGCATGTCTTAACTGCGGAGAAGCGCTGCTCCCGGCAGCATGCCGGTCACTTTGCCAAGCTAGCACGGCTTATTCGCTCTGTTTCTGTGTGCGCCTCGGTTGTGTGCTCGTCAAGTGCCCAGCTCATGAATTGCGCGACATTGCACTATGTTGCACTCCTGCGTCCACGTCCAAAGCAGTATTGCAGTGGTGCATGATCGCTGGATACTATTTATGACTGCTCCTTCTGTAAGCTACGCGTCTGAGCTCCAGCACAAGATGAAACTACACAGACATCTGCATGCACGTCTGGCTCGGGAACAAATCTTCTGAGAGACAAGACAGTCTCATGGATCGTACAAGCAACCACGATGACGGGCAAGACTTCCACCGGGTACTTCTGTCGCAACGTCCGCAGTACATCTGGTCCCGACAATCCTCATCAAAGGCTGAACATACCCACATAGCCTTGAGAATAGCACGAAGCCCAAAACTCACCAGACGGCATGGTGGCTACTCATCGCAACCTACAGTCCTGGCATCATCACCTCAATGAGGACAAGAGCTGGAAGTGGATTGTCGCTCAGGTAACTCAGGGCCTCTCCGCCATGGACAGCGACCTGAGCGCGACAACGCGGTCACTCACGGTCACTCACGGTCACTGGGTAACATTGTAGGTTCCAGGTCGACCCCCAGCCTGCATCGTGTACTCGCTGGACCGAAGGAGGGAGTGCATGACTTGCTGGTTCACCATGTCGTCATCCACCTGAGAACGGTGGACAGACCATGGCTGTCACCAGCTCTACCACCATCAAGATACTCTTCGCTGGGGGCGGAGCAGTGAGTATGACATTCGATGCAGATGCTTTGGAAGGCGGAAACCTCCTCTGCGATGTCTCCGAAGTGCCTTGCAGTAGAGAAAATTGATGACAGTCTGAGTGGTGCTTTCAGGAATGGCATCACTGCATCACGTGAGATGCCGAGCAATTCACACGAGCCGGCCTGAGTTCATGAGTGCTTGTCCTGACCGATCATCATGCACTGGATGGGCAAATCCACTTTACAAGCTCAAGTGTTATCATGCTAAATTCATGATCCCGTCACGACCTGGGGTCGCCCTTCTGCCAGCTGCAGCCAGCGCATCCGAAAACGTCTTGAAAGACCTTCAAGCACTTTCTGGGCAACTCGTCTTCGCTGGAGACTCTTAGAGTCAGCCAGGCTGCTGTTCTTGGCCCGGTGCCCTGACCATGCCATCGCCTCAAGCTGTGACAACAGCTGCAAACAGCGGTAGAGTTGACCATTGCACGCAAAAGCTGGCACTGGGAGAAAGGTGGGGAAGCCTAGTACGAGTGTAGCTGAAAAGATAGGCTTTGCCAAAAGCCGAGGGTGCGGGTTCCTCCGAAAGGCAAACACTCAGAAGACTCGCAAGAGATATCGGGGACACTTGCTGGTTCTCACAACGGCAATCTTGCAAATAGCCCGATCACTCGACACTCGTGGAACAATCAGCACGCTGTGTGCAGGAACAATGGACGCCAAGCACGACATTCAAGTGCAATAGCAACAACGTCGCTGACAATATGACTGTATGATCTATGACCGTCTGCAGCCCCCTGAGTTCTCCTGAGCAGAGAGGTGTGAAATACGACTCTAGCAGTGTCGTGCCGGTAATTCTTCTGCGATCTTTAGGCCGCAGGCAGCCTTCGACATCGTCCATGCTGGAATAGAACTCTGTTGGCATCAGAATCCGGTCTCGCTCGCCGCTGTGAGTTTCCGGCTCTTGCTACTAGTATACGCATCCACTCCTGACCTTCCCTTCGCATCGGAGATTCATGAACAAGAACTTGCGCTGCCAGGCGAGAACGAAGTCAAGCTACTTTGCCACTACGACCGCCAGGTGAGCAGAGTTTCCAGTCCCGACGGCAGAACTGCCTCTATTCTGCTCCTCAACAACCTACAAGCCTTAATAACTCGGCAGCATTTTTCACACTGCATTAACTCCGCCAGAAACCATTCGAAACATTTCCTGGGATTACATTTCGCAAAAGGCTCGTTCCTTAATTGTCCTCCATACGCACTCGTAAAGGTTGCCCAAATGTCGCAGTGGCAGAAATGACTCCATGCCATGCCAAGCAGCTACCCAATTCCGACGCGCCGCTCCGGGATGTGTTCTGCCAGGAAGGCTGTAAGGCACAGCGGTCGGAGAAACAGACGGAGAGGCAGAGAGAGCTTGAGAGACAGCGGTAAGGGCACGAGAGAGAGAGAGAGAGACTGAGAGCTTCACAGACAGAGAGAGGAGTTGAGAAAGGGAAACAGATTGAGAGACGGAGAGGGAAAGCCGAGAGATTGGATAAAACAAAAGGCGCGACATGCCACTCACATGTGCCGAATTTGCAAACACTATCCCAGGCAGAGCCTCACGGCCCTGCGGCTCTGTGATGCTGAGGTCTTTGGCGATGGAAGCCCGCGTCCAGTATGGCAGCTTCACGCGAAAAGTCGACCCTTTGCCCTTCTTGCTCTTCACCTGAGACACTGGGTCAATGCAATAATCAGAGACCAGAATCTAATGAGAATGACGTTAACTGCAAGAAACTCGATGTGCCAACTCGAAGCATCTACCAGGAACGCAGAAAGTGGTTCTCCTGAATGAATCATCGAAGACCCCATCTGTCAACTAGTTTATATTTGAACCGTCTTGGATAGCATACCTGCGTGCCGTTGGATGATTTCAAAAGCATCTGGAATAACTTCGGCATGCCACCGTCAGCGAACCCCCATGCTTCAACGCGATCTCCCGGCAGAGCGCCAGACCCATTCCCATGCCTCCCGCAATGGGTTCGGCAAAGGCTGTTCCAGAGCACATGGTCTTTGCATGCAGCCGGCTCCCGACCCGTGAAAGTCTCAAATCAAGTACAAAAATTTCGGTGGATGTGTCTTGGGCTGCTTGAGACTTCCCAAAGCACCAATACCACGCCTTCGTAACGGCGCTGCTCTGAACCTTAGTTGACGAAGCTCGGATGGAAAATCCTGTGGATTGGCTCAATCAGCATCGCAATAATGACTCAGGTAAACAGAACTGATAGACACGGAGAGGGAAAGAGAGGCAAGAAAAACTGTCCGGTGCGACGGCATGAGCATCGCCTAAACCCTGCGTCCGACAGGAGTGTCAACCGCGTGAGTTTCTCTCGCGGCCGAAACCGAACAACATCAAAGAAAAGTCCCTCATCCAACCACAAGCCCATTGTCCTAGAATATCCGAGAATCAGCATGATGATGGCGCTGTCATGCGGAGAACTACTTGTGCTATGCGGCTGCTGGCTTGGTTGCTCGTCCCCAACCGGCGAGCAAAGTGCTTGGAAAAGTCTGGCGTCTAGTTTGTCTGCATCTCCTACCAGTCCACCAATGGCACCTGTGTGAAATCCGGGTCAAAGCCCATCTCTAGCAGCCGGTATCGCGAAGACTTCAGACATTTCCAGCGCTCCACTTCCGTGTATTGTCCGAATCCCCCGACTTCCGGACACAAACCTAAAACGCGATACTCTCCGGCAGGCTAGGCAGTTTTTCTGGCTCGTCATACGCAGACAGGTTATATACTGTGGGATCCCCAAGACTGACATCAAGTTGAGGCAGGCAGCGGTCTTCCTGATCGAAGGGCTCAAAGATGCGGTCTAAGTTGTTTGGAGAGATGCCAATGCCAGTGTCTTTCACGTCCACGGTCACCATCTTCTCCACGTCATCGGGACTAGCTGAGATGGTCACGGACCCTTTGTGGGTGAATTTTATTGCATTGGAAATCAGGTTATGCATCAGCTGAGCGCATCGATGTGCGTCCCCTTCAATGATGGGAAGAGGCTCGGTAATCGTATTGATGATCTTCACGGAGGGCTTCAACTCCGGCAAACCTCGTTTGTCTACTGCCTGCTGGCATAGCAGCACCATCTCTCGAATGATACTTTCGATCATCACCGGATCTCTGGCCATAGGCCTGTTTCTTTGGTTGATCATCTCCGCAGCATCCATGATGTTGCTCACAATGTCCTCACCATTAACAGCAGGCAGAGAAAAAGCTGCCTAAAAAGGCCATGTTCTAAGCCCTTCCCCAGAGAAGAGACAAGTCTCGATGAGCCGCTTCGCACAGTTGCTGACCATTACCATGGCCCGCTTTTGAACCATGTCCACATCCTCATCCACGATGAACCCCTGACTCAGGCCCATGATGCCATGCCTCATGGACCGAGATTCGAGATCACACAGAGCCAGGATATGAAGGGCCGTTAATGCAGCGGGATGCAGGGGCGACTTCAGCTCGTGCGAGATGATCGCCATCATTGCAGACTTCCACTCACCAATGTCCTTGAGCTCTGTGATGTCCTTTCAATGCATAAACACCAAAAATTTCTATACTCGCTGGATTCCCCTGTTTCCTTCTTCTGCTATACCTGCCGCACCTGCTTTCGCGATCGGCAGGTATCTGACGGGCCCGCGTCCAATCTCAACACATTTTGCATGCGATGTCCTGGCCCACGAAGACGAAGCCCACAGTTTCTTGCCGGAAATTCAACCGTGGCATGGAGTTCATGCGAAGAGTGATCCTCGGAGCAAAAGTCTACGAGCAAAGCACCAACGTCGCGAGTTGCGCCTAGGCTCTGCTTGGAGTTGGATCCTTCCAGCGTGAGCTCGAATGTGTCCGGCTTCTCACTCTGAACGAGCTCCTCGACCTAGGCTTTGCAGGCACACAAGCACACATGAGCCCCAGCGCAGTGTGCATGTACATACATACCCGTCTGGTGTAATTACATGCATCCTGCATGTACCTGTGTATGCAACAGGCTCAATCACGCACATGCATAGACAGACATATAGAAAGACGCATTATTCAGTGTGCCTGCATATGTGCAAACCATGAACTAGACATGCGTGATGCGTATGTATGTATGTATGTATGTATGTATGTATGTATGGTGTGTATGTATGTATGTATGTATGTATGTATGTATGTGGGTATGTACATGAACGTAACAATAGACTCGTCTGGTGGCCCACTCCCAAGAACATCCATCGGCCCTTCAAAACTCCGTGTTGGCATGTGGCTCGACACATTGGCTACATGCGCCAACACAGCCACACTTTCGAGAGAAGCGCTGCCAAGAAATTTTTAAAACACACCAGGCTTCTTGCCAGTACGCAAAGCTACCAAACCTTCGGTTCCACAAAGAACAGATGTCAATTGACGTTCTCGTCTCGTGCATGAGCAGCTTGGCTCTGCGCATGTCCATGCATGCCGGCAGTCATGTAGAGGAGCCATCCAAGACTCCCATGAATTTCTTGAAGTATGTTTGAGTGTGCGCTGCCTTTGCCTCGGCGGAGACGGCAATGCCACGATCTGTGTACACGCTTACTTCGTTCCATGTGTGTTTGCGGGGTGTGCACGCATTTGATATGTCAATCCCAGCACTCTGAAGATCTTTGCGGGCCAGCATCGGTTACCCTTCTGCTTGAAGGACTCAGCAAGTCAAAAAGGTGGGCATCCAGAACCTTGCATGCGTTGGATCTTTAGAAGCAGACTGGCATCGAGGTTGCCACCAGATGCTCCTAACCAAGTCATGTCCTGCTTTGCAGGTAGAGGTAGGCCTGTGTTGCAACTAGAACACGACTGCTAGGTCTAGTCTATTCCTGTTCTGACAAGTAGTAGTAGTAGTAGTAGTAGTAGTAGTAGTAGTAGTAGTAGCCGTAGTAGTAGTACTAGTACTAGTACTAGTACTAGTACTAGTACTAGTACTAGTACTAGTACTAGTAGTAGTAGTAGTAGAAGAAGAAATCAGAAAAAGTAGCAGCAGCAGCAGCAGGAGTAGTAGTAGTAGTAGTAGTAGTAGTAGTAGTAGTAGCAGTAGTACTAGTACTAGTACTAGTACTAGTAGTAGTAGTAGTAGTAGTAGTAGTAGTAGTAGTAGTAGTAGTAATAGTAGCAGTATCAGCAGTAGCAGTAGTAGTAGCAGTAGTAGTAGCAGC